CTTTGGAGTAGAATTGCTAGATCATAAGATATGCATGTGAGATATTTTATTGGATAATTCCAATTTCCCCTTATTGTTTAAAGCAGTTTATATTATGCCATCCTTATCAGTTTTTGAATTTGTTAGACTTTCAATTTTTATACATTGGTGTATTGTTGTGGTATATTATAATGGCTGTATTTTTTATTTTTCTTATTTCTAATAAGGTGGAACCCCTCTAGACAAACCATAAGTGACTCTTAATGTCACAAAACAAACTGAGGGTTGCTGGGGGGAGGGGAGTCGGGAGAGGGGGGTGGGATTATGGACATTGGGGAGGGTATGTGCTATGGTGAGTGCTGTGAAGTGTGTAAACCTGGCGATTCACAGACCTGTAATATAATACATTATATGTTTATAAAAAAATAAAAAATAAAAAATAGAAATGAAGAAATAAAAAAGATGGAACCCCTCTTATTGCATTTATTGGCCATTCAGGTTTTTTCTGATGTAACTAATTTCAATCTTCTGTCCATTTTCTTTTATTGAGTTATTTGTTTTACTTATCAATTTATAGTCATTTCTTATACATTTTAGGTCTGAGCTAATTTTTAGTTATGTGTATTGCAAATATCTTCCCTCTGTCATTTTCCCTTTTTATTCTTTAATTGTGTCTTTTGAATAGCAAAATGTTCTTAATTAAATATGATAAAATTTAACACATTTTCTTTAAGTCTTTTTTTGTTGTGATACTAAAATAATTTTTTCATCTTAAGATATCAGGATATTTCTCAAGGTCATCAAGATATTTCCTTATTTTCTAAAAGCTAAATTCCCCATTCTTTCTTCCAGTCATCCAAAATGGCTTTTGCCCCCTACTTCCCTGAAAGTGTAAATGCTATCAAATTGATATACCCAATTTCAGTCCCTTCTCTGAGCCACAGATATGTATTTGTAGTTGTTTGTCTGACCTGATTGTTTGTATAGTTCAAATGTTAACAGATTCAGGAAGAAACTCATTTTTTCTAAAAAAAGATTTTATTTATTTATTTATTTGAGACACAGAGAGAGTGCCCTTGTGTGTGTAAGGGAAGCGGGGAGGACAGAGAGGGAAGGAGAGGGATAAACAGTTTCCACATTCAGTGCAGAGTCCTAAAGGGGGGCTCCACCTGGGGCTTGACCCAGGGCTTAATTTCACAACCCTGACATCATGACCTGAGCCAAAGTCAAGAGTCGGATGCTTAACCAACCGAACCTAGGGTGCCTCAGAAAGAAACTTTTGATTTCCCATCCTCCAACTGTGTTCTCCCCTCAAACTTTCTTTTCAATTGTTCAGGCTTAAAATTTGAGTCATTCTTGATCACTCCGTTTCCCTCAGCCCCTAAATCTAGTCTAAAGATAATTTCTGCTGTTTCTTTCTACACATATTTCCTGAATTTCAAGTATTTTTCATCGTCTTCACTATTTGCTCCTCAATCCAAGTAAATTCCATCGTTTCCCTGGATTATTGCAAGTCTTCTGACTTGTCTCCCCTCTTTAACTTTTGTCCTATTCTAGATGATTTGTTTCATGGTTGTGCACCAGGTTAAACAAACACTGTCCCAATGCTCTGCAATTCCTCTTTCTCTCAAAGATTTTATGCTCCCTCAAAACTATTTCCTTAATTGTGGGTAGTCTTAGCCTGGAGTGGACAATGGAAATGGTCTGTTTTTAAGCCTGACTCATGGCAGAAATCCTCCAGAGCATTTCTGGCGGCGATCATCCAGTTTCTGCTTAAGTATTTCTCTTGATAAGGGAACCTCTTCCTTCAAAAGAAAACTGATTCTTTCAGAAATTAATCACTAGATGTATGCTGGGAAATGACCTGTTTCCCCCATAGGAAATTAATCAAACTGACTGATTAGAAATGAGAAGGACAGTGTTTTGGGATTTGGATTATATAGACATATGAAAAAAATAAAGAAAAAAAAAACCATTTGGATCTGTTTGAACTGTTGAATATTTACCAAACTGGAAAATAGCAACTGAATCATGTAAATTAGAGCCTGTGGCAGATTTAGGTAAATAATCTGAGAAGTTCCTTGCTCCATTCTCATATAAACTATAGAGTAATTATTATCGTGGCAAATCAGTGCTCTGGTAGAGTCACTTTTGATATAAAAAAATATTTCTCCTGAATCTTCTAGGACCTCCACCCTTCTTTTGTTATCCTGTAATAAATATCCTACCCTTTATCAATGCATCCATCGAGTTATATTGTATGTTTATCGATACCTCCATTCTCTGGGTGTCCTAGGTGTAGATACTATGTCTTATTTATCTTAATGTTATTAGTGTCTAGTAGAGAGCCTAGAACATAGCAGGGCTCAGTAAAGTTGTTAAATGAATGATTTATCTCTGTAATTAAGACCTCCAAACAGTGCAATAAACAACCAGTTGTTTGCTCTAAACTTCCTTGGATAATTGTCTTTTCATTAGCTCTGCTTACTATTTTAAACCCAAGAGGATTCAGTTTAAACATCAAATATTCACTTTGTTTGCTTTTTTTTTTTTTTTCTTTTACTGGTTAGTCAGTGTTTTCTATATTCTGAACAGGGTTTTCCGTGGTATTAATAATTTTTTCTGGCACTGAATTAGGGTGCTAGAAAATTTTTGCCAGAGCTTTCAGAATGATTTTTAAAAAAAAATTTTTAAAAAGATTTTATTTATTTGACACAGAGAGAGAGAGATCACAAGGAGGCAGAGAGGCAGGCAGAGAGAGGAGGGGAAGCAGGCTCTCAGCTGAGCAGAGAGCCTGATGCGGGGCTCAATCCCAGGACCCTGAGATCATGACCTGAGCCGAAGGCAGAGGCTTTAACCCACTGAGCCACCCAGGCGCCCCGATTTTTTTTTTTAAGAACTGAAAGGATTTATGAATTACCACTCTTCCCCAAAATACACAAAATTGCTTTCATGGAGTTACTTAGCTCTCAGGAAATGGAACCCATCAGTACATTAAAAATAAAGAAAAAAAAAAGAAGCTCTTAAATAGGTGTTCTGGTATTCATAAATTCTTCATAAAAATAAACATTTGTTAAATATTTTATTTTTGATCAATTGAATTTGTTCTATTTTTGCTAAATAAGTACTCTATATAGCTTTCAACATATAGGAATAAAAAATATGATTATGTGAGGGCATACACACACACACACACACACACACACACATCCATACACAAAACACACTCCCCTTGAGGCTTACTTTAAATTACCAGTTTAATGTTGTCACAGTAAAGCCAGGGAGTGTCAAACTGGATGCTTGCCTCAGTTACAGAGTTTGAGTATAAGGCAGCAGGAAGTGCCAAGCCTTTAGGGCTACTTAGCAATTCTCTTGTTGGAGATCCAATTAAATAAATTGGATCATCCTTCATAATCATAATTTCCCTAAATACTTAGGTAAGGAAATAGTTTTAAAAGAGTTTGATAACACAAAGAAGAAAAATGAATAGGCTAAACATCTAACAATTTGTTAGGTCAAGCCAAATGAAAGAAAAACAATGTAAGTGACATTCATGTAGGAAATTATAGAGAAATCGTCCCTGTAAATGCGTGCTCAATAGAGATTTTGTAGTAAAATGTCAACGCAAGCAACTGAAAAAAAAAGTTTATTTGAAAGAAGGTGTACTAACAATTTGTACATTTCGTCAAGTTGGTTAAATTTTCAACTTCTTTTCCTCAAAAGTACATCACTTCATTATAGTTCTGTTCACAATTTTCATGAGGAAATACAAGAAGTTTGCATCACAATGCACGTTGAGTTCTGATACCCAGGTGTTGTGTTAGCTTTCAGAAGGGAGTAGTCCTGACACATGCGTAACCCAGCTTTAGTTAATGCGAGGATCCCATAAAAATTCAGTTACATTCATGATTCAGACTGCATAAATTGCTGTGCCATTGAATTTTAATGGATTTTATTTACGCTCTTCGGTGATGTGTGTGTAGGGGAGAGAAAAGGAGAAATAGGAAGAGAGGGAAAAGTTCCTTTTCTAAGATAATTCTATTAAAATTATACCATTTAACCTTTCTCTTCGCAAAACAACTCTTCCCATATGACAAAATTCATTACTTGTATTTAGCTATTGAGGATCCTTAAATTCTCAAAAATGACGCCCCCCGGGGTGATCTTTAGTTCTTACGATTACTCCTATTTAGTTGATATTTAGTTGTTCAATAGGAGTATTTATGACTTGTATTGAGTTGTTCAAAAGCACTGTGTAGTTGTAAGTTAGCTGAGAAGGTTGTGTGGGTGTATTTCATCAATTTATGGAGGAAATACATTCTCTCATAGAGATGAAGGATATTTTTAATACAAGCCATCATAAAGTTATAATTCATTGGGTCTCAGTTGAGGAGTGACTGCTTTACCTTTAATCTTAAATGTCTAATATTCATCAGTTCTATGGGAGTGTGTTTTTATAGGATAATTAAGATGGCTGTAGGATTGTACAATGACTTCACATATTTAATTCTCAGACTAATACCACCTATAAAGTATTGCATAACCAGAAATTTCAAATAAATACTATTTTTCTTGCCTTGTGCTATTCTTTCTGTCTTGAATGTTACTCTGCCACTTCTTCCTTTGCGAATTTCTATACTTTGCCCAGTTTCAGTGAGACTTTTTAGAGAAGACTCCTCTGACCCTGCAGATTTGTCCAGATTCCTCTGAAGCCTACTCTCAGGGTACCTGTTTTTCTCATTACTGTCTCTTATCACAACTGCAGTAAAACTGTTCCCTCTGTAACTAGCTTACGTGTTTCCCCTGCCCCACAGCTCCAATACAATGCATTATTCATACAGCTTTCTTGAGAAAACATAGGATCCGTGTAATAAAGAACAGATAGTGTTTGTGAAACCATATTATGGAACAGGATATTAAAACAGGGCACTTTTAGTCTCTTTTCCTCCTGAAAAGGAAAGTTTTGGAATTTTAGATATATACCGGCACACACACTTTGCCACAGAGATGCATTCATTGCACTAGACCCCAGTTTTTTCAGTTATCCAGTCACGATAGGCTGTCACTCGGGTATACACTCCTGGCTTATCTGGCAGACCGCATTGATCCCCCCAGCTTACTATCCCCACGAGGAACCAAAGCCGCCGTGAGTCCTCTTGAATGAGTGGGCCACCAGAGTCACCCTGAAGGAAACACAATGATGAAGTGTTAGGCAACCCTAAAGTATTAAGGAGTTTATTTCTATGCCAGTAGAAGTCACACCCATTACCACAGTAAATTTAGTCTGACTTTTTCTGTTGAAATGTTATACTATGTTGAAATACTATACCACTTTTCAAGTGAAAATTACTGAAATCCTTCGAGAACACTCGTTGTTCCTTCAGCATGCGTGAGAAGATGAGAAGCGTGTTTCCCAGACTGTCCTCAGTTGCCTGACTGATGGCTTCCCATCCCCGACTTTACCTCCTCCAGGAAGCCTTCCATGGCCTGTGTCTTCCCCCTCCCACTGCCACCCCTTCTGGCTTTGGGCTGGGTTAGTTTTTCACTGCCTATGTTCCCACGTCCTGTGTGAATCTCATTCACCACTTCTGTATTATTTTATACAAGCACATTTTGGGTCTGTTTGAACTTGCTCCCTTGTACCAGTTCCCCTGGTGGCAGTCACACATTTCTGCCAAACTCACGGCATGGAGGATACTTATTCAGTGTCTGTTTTCCAGGCTATTCTATAAGGTCTGCCATGGAAGGCATACCTATTCTGGACGCTGCTGTATCCTAAGCTTCTAGCCCGCAGGAGATGCTAAGGAAATATTGGTTAGGTGATGAGTCTTCATAAATCTCTTTTGTCTTCCTATTCATAGTACCGCATGGTGTCTGATGTATAATGTATCATCAAAAAGGATTCTTTGGTGAATTATCAAAAAAGTTATATGGCAATGAGTAAAACACTCCTTATGAAATACTTACTAACCAATTATAACCAACCAATCAACATATATTTGTACATGCAGTAATCTAGGTGGGGAGACAAATTTAGTCCGTTTTACATGCTGCTGGATCGGTTAAGTGTGTGGGTTCTGGAGTTAAGACAGCCTGAGTTGCAATCCACCACTTGTCAGCCATATGACATTGCGTAAGCTGTATAATGCTCACTCTCTCTGCCTGTTTCCTCACGTGTGAATGATGTTTCTGTATGTTTAAATGAGTTTTACATATACAACACTTTCTGTACAGCCGGCGTATAGTCTGTACTAAGAAAAGTCAGCTATTACCAAAGGTGCTTTTAGAGTAGTTTGCTGTTCATTTGACGACTCTTAGTAGCTAGCTCTTCGTACCTACTTAGTTACTGGTCTGGATGGGGAGAAGGTCAGGGTGTGAATCACCAGCTTGCATGGCAGGCACTGCCTCGAGCTGATCGGCACCTGCCTCCTCTGGGTTATGTGTTTGTGCTCCATTTAACCCGTTCCCCGTGCTTTCTCATCATTGGGTTTTTGTTGCAATTTTTTTCTTTCTAGTCAGTATCTGCATAATGTCTTACCAAGAGTGCACAAACAGATGTTAAACTAAAAGGTGTAATTTTCCCTGTATCTGGACAGCTTCACTGCCTTATTGTGCAGACATCTAAGCTTGTGTTCTCTCTTCTAGACTATAACTTTGATTAGTGCAAGGAACACCTTGCTGTGCCTGCACAATATCTGGTGGACAGAAAGTAATTCATACATTGTCTTTGAATGAAGGAAGGAAGGAAGGAAAGAAGGAAGGAAACAAGTAACTGATCTCATAAGCTCTTTTGTAAAGTGCCATTTCTTTTTGAAGCAAAACCTTTACGTATTGTTGTATTACAGTTGAAAATTACTGGGTCCAGAGTGGAACACACAAGGAAAGTTTCATGATGAGCTAAGGCTTGATCTGGGCTTGAGGGGAAGAGCGGAATTTGGGCATGCAGAAGGTAACGGGGATCTTGAGGAAAGCATGAGTAAGTGTTCTCTACCACGAAGACATCTCCACTTAAAGGAAAAAAGCCCATGGGTAGTTAATGCTATTTTGAAAATTGATAAGCAGTTCCTCTCAATTTACATATACCTTGCAGTCATTAAAAAAATGTTTAGTTTTGGGAAAGAGCCCACAGATTGGGATCTTTGAAAAACTGTGGAAGAGCTACTTATCTACTTTTTCAAGAATGTGAGCACTAAATATAAAAGCCAGTAATATTTGAGGAAAGAATAAACCTGATTTTTCTGCATACAATTTGCTCCAGAAAACAGCAGCAGTTTCCTCAAGAAAGATTAATTTGTCTTGAATTTCCAGAAATGTAATTCCTGATAGTAAGTAGTTGCTGCTTTTACTAAATGGGGTTTCAGACATTAGATTAAAATCTACTGAAGGACATAAACACACTAATTTTTAAAACAATTTAATTAAAAATCTTAGTATTAAAACTGTGTTCTAATTACTTAAAGATTTCATAATTATTTGCATTTTTATGTTTGGTTGATCTAAATAGTTTCCCCCCCTCATTTGTGCTGTTTTACAGTTATGGACACTGTTGTGACTCAAATAACTAAGCTTTTTGTGTACGTTTTCTATCTTTAAGGTGCTGATATTCAGGTGTTTTTTATATTTTAAAATCAATTATTGTCTATGACTCTTAGATGAGTGATTAATTTATTTAAACCTTTAGAGTGACTGAGAGTTTGAGATTGAAATGATATATTTTTCAGAGATTGAAGTTATTAACATCAGTGGTCATGGTCTAGATTAACAACAGTAAAAATAGCTGAGATGGCTGAGATTTCTTTGTTGTTTAGCGCATGCGACGTACTACTCTTATCCCCAATTTATGGATAAAAGATTAGTTATAAAGGTTAAGGACATTATATGTTAATAAAAAAATAAATAAAATTAAAAAAGGTTAAGGAGCTCAAATGCAGTTCTGTCTTGTTCTTGAGCTTTGCTGGTTAAACCGTCTGGAATTCCCTTTCTCAAAATTAGTGTTGGATCACCTTCATAAGAGAGTTTCAATTAGAAAATCTAGATAACAAATTTTTAGAGGATCAGGGCTGTGTATTATAATTATGTTACCTCTATGCCTAGCACGGTGTCACAGGCTAGTAAGTACTTATAAACTTAGATAACGATGTGATAACATTGTCACGAACTTACCCGGCATGCATCCACTCCACCTTGAGGTACACCCGCACATAGCATTCCAGGCGAGACGGCTCCATTATAACTAATTGGTGCATTACATACGTCATTACTTATTATTCTGACCCGTGCTTGCCGTAGATCTGAAACCGTGTTACCTGTGAAGTATAAAAGCAAACAAAAAACAAAATTGATAAATTAATAACTCTATGGAAATAGGGGAAGGAATAAATGTATCCCAGACACTATTTCTTATTCAGCGAAGGAGACTATTGAAGATGTAAGTAGATTCCTGCAGTAGAGTAGAATAACCCCTGTACACAGATCGATTTTATTTTCTTGCTTTATCTTTGTGATGCAGTGCCCCTTAGACCTTGAAAGCAAAACAAATCTGCTATTGACTAGTAGTAGTCAAGTTATTCACTGACTGACTTTGAATTGAAAAAATAACATATTGAAGAACCTTTAATCTCGCAGTTGAAAGAGAAACCAGTCTGGTTTCAAGACTAAAGCACTAATTTATTGTATGTTGATGTTCCTTCAAAGTGGCACTGCCATTTTTGTGATTGGTACACATTTTACCTATTTTACCACATTACTTTGAGCCATAAAAACACAATGAGATATTTTCTAGGACAATTAAGCCTTCATATTATTCCTTGGAGATACAATCTACAACATGAGCTGAAGCATGTGGAAATTGTTAATGCTATCCTTCCATTGGCTGATATTCTCATTTTCACCATGTCCCTATTTGCTCCTTCATGTTGCCCTCACTTTTATGCCTATTTTATTTATTCAATAAACAAGAGTAAGCAATGCTTATGTATATATGGAGTTTCTTGCTCTAGAGGCAAGATTCATTTCATCTCAGAACACCTTAATGGTTGTTAATACCCTTGGAGAATACCTATCCAAAGCTTCTTTTCAATTAAAAAAAAATTTTTCCTTATGGGGAGACATTTGAGATTTACAGAGTCTCTGGATCATTGAAGAACTCATGTTTCCTCATCACTTTGGTTTACATATCCTTATTACTATGTTTGAGAATTCCCCATAGTTCATAGGGACGTTGTTTTGCTTTGCTGAGGAAACCCAGTAATAACTAGAGCTTGGACTCTTCCAATATAAGGTTGTTCCTTCCATAGAACATGTCCTTCAGGTGTTCCCTAATCTAAAAAAAATTACCTAACAGCAAGTGCCAGGGGATTTTGTTATTGTTGTTGTTGTTTTTTAATTTTCCTGAGACACTCACCACCAAATTCTGAAGATCCCCATCCTGTCACATAAGCAGAAGAACCAGGTGGAATATTCTGGGTAGCCCCTGGGAGACACACCCTATGGATATCTTTGGTAAAATTGATGCCTCCATCAAGTTGCATAGCTGCAATATCATTTTCATGAGTTGCAGGGTTATAATTGTTATGGATTAAAATAGTCCTTACTCTTCTTCTCTGTTTAGGAAATGTTATCGAAACACCAAAGGTGGCAGTCCATACACGAGGATTAGATTGGCTAAAAAAAAAAAAAAAAAAAAAAAAATGAAAATATACTTTGAAAGGGAATTTGTGAGTGTTTTTAATATTTGAATTTTATGTTTGTCCTTCTTGTCACCAGCTAGCAACTATTTGACCAGTATCTCTTTGGTGTATATTTCTGGATTACATAGCTAGTAATGATTGATCATTTATCTAAAGGATCTGTAAATTGGGGGTTGAATAACTTGGTGTTGCTCCTTAGGTTGAATAAAAATAAAATGTAACCACATAACAATGTAAGAGTTTTGTGGAATTTAGATAGAGATGATACAGAAATAAAAATATATATGCCCAGGAAATAATTTTATAAGGTACAGTAACTTATGTAAGAAGAATGCTAGTTAAAAATACTAATGAGAAAAGTAGTTTACAGTAACCAAATTACACACATTTTTCATATTGAACTTCTTTTGCTCAGGTTCTTTACAGAGAAGATTCTTTTTTAAAAATTTTTATTATTTATTTATTTATTTATTTATTTATTTAAAAAATTAACGTATAATGTATTATTGGCCCCTGGGATATAGGTCTGTAAATCATCAGGCTTACACATTTCACAGCATTCACCATAGCACATAGCCTCCCCAATGTCCATAACCCAACCATCCTCTCCCTTCCCCCCTCCCCCCAGAAACCCTCAGTTTGTTTTGTGAGATTAAACAGTCTCTTATGGTTTGTCTCCCTCCTGATCCCATCTTGTTTCATTTTTTCCCTCCCTATCCCCCACAACCCTCCACCCTGCCTCTCAAATTCCTCATATCAGAGAGATCATATGATAATTGTTTTTCTACAGAGAAGATTCTAAAGATATTCTTCATCTCTTTCTTCCCTCCCTTTTTTTTCATCCAGCATGTGAATAAGAGCATGATTTTGGAAAAAGTTATATTTAGATTTAAATCTTGGCCATGCCATACATTAACAGTGTTATTTAGGGCAATTTATTTCATATCTCTAATTCTTAGTTTATTTTTGCATAAAATGTGATTGTTGATATGCTCTTGCTCAGTTTGTAAGTACTGAGACAAGTGTGTCAAGCACAGTGTTTGGTGCACAAAGTAAGCATTCAATGAAGATAACTATTATTTTCGTTAGAGTCATTATTAAGTGTCTACTTTGTATGAGAAACAGTATGAGTGTCTGGGATTAAACATATAAATAACTATGCTATAGCAATCAGACAAAAGAAGACAAAAGGCATCTGAATCATCAAGGAAGAAGCACAACTTTCATTATTTGCAGATGACATTATACCATATCTAGAAAACCTCAAAGACTCCACCAAAAAAACTGCTAGAACTGATAGACGAATTCAGTAAAGTTGCAGGCTACAAAATTAACATGCAGAAATCTGTTGTATTTCTATACAGCAGTAATGAATCAGCAGAAAGAGAAATTAGGGAATCAATCCCATTTATAATTGCACCAAAAACAGGAAGATACCTAGAAATAAACCTAACCAAAGAGGTGAAAGACCTGTACTCTGAATACTATAAAATACTGATGAAAGAAATTGAAGAGGACAATGCAAAGACATTCCATGCTCATGGATTGGAAGAGCAAATATTGTTAAAATGTCTATATACCTGCCTCATGTTGAGGTCTTTTATCCATTTCAAGTTTATCTTTGTGTATGGCATAATACAATGGTCAAGTTTCATTCTTTTATATATAATTGTCCAATTTCCCCAGCACCATTTACTGAAGAGACTGTCTTTTTTCTACTGTATATCTTTTCCTGCTTTGTCAAAGATTAGTTGACCATAGGGTTGTGGGTCCATATCTGGGCTCTCTATTCTGTTCCACTGGTCTATGTGCCTGTTTTTGTACCAGTACCATGCTATGATGTCTTGGTGATCACAGCTTTGTAGTAAAGCTTGAAATAAGGTCACATGATGCTTCCAGTTTTGTTTTCCCCTTTCAACATTTCCTTAGCAATTTGGGGTCTCTTCTGGTTCCATACAAATTTTAGGATTGTTTGTTTCAGCATCTTGAAAAATGCCAGTGGAATTTTGATCAAGATGGCATTGAAAGTATAGATTGCTCTAGGCAGTATAGAAATTTTAACAATGTTTATTTTTCTGATCCAGGAGCATGGAATGCTTTCCATCTTTTTGTGTCTTCAATTTCTTTCTTTCTTTTCTTTTTTTTTTTTTTAAGATTTTATTTATTTGAGAGAGAGACAGTGAGAGAGAGCATGAGTGAGGAGAAGGTCAGAGGGAGAAGCAGACTCCCCATGGAGCTGGGAGCCCGATGCGGGACTTGATCCCGGGACTCCGGGATCATGACCTGAGCTGAAGGCAGTCGTCCAACCAACTGAGCCACCCAGGCGTCCCTTCAATTTCTTTCTTGAGTACAGATCCTTTACCTCTTTGGTTAGGTTTATTCCTAAGTATTTTATGGTTCTTGGTGTTATAGTAAATGGAATCAATTCTCTAATTTCCCTTTCCATATTTTCATTGTTAGTGTATAAGAAAGCAACTGATTTCTGTCTCCAAAAGCAAAGGAAACAAAAGTGAAAATAATCTTTTGGGACTTCATCAAGATCAAAAGCTTCTGCACAGCAAAGGAAACAGTCAGCAAAACAAAGAGGCAACCCATGGAATGGGAGAAGATATTTGCAAATGGCACTACAGACAAAGGGCTGATATCCAGGATCTATAAAGAACTTCTCAAACTCAACACCCAAGAAACAGATAATCAAGTCAAAAAATGGGCAGAACATGAAAAGACACTTCTCCAAAGAAGGCATACAAATGACCAACAGACACATGAAAAAATGTTCATCACCATTAGCCATCAGGGAGAGTCAAATAAAAAACACTTTGAGATACCATGTTACACCAGTTAGAATGGCCAAAATTAACAAGACAGTAAACAACAAGTATTGGAGAGGATGTGGAGAAAGGGGAACCCTCATACACTGTTGGTGGGAATGCAAATTGGTGCAGCCACTTTGGGAAACAGTGTGGAGATTCCTTAAGAAATTAAAAATAGAGCTTCCCTTGACCCTGCAATTGCACTACTGGATATTTACGCCAAAGATACTGATGTAGTGAAAAGAAGGGACATTTGTACCCCAGTGTTCATAGCAACAATGGCCATAGTCACCAAGCTGTGGAAAGAGCCAAGATGCTCTTCAGCAGACGAATGGATAAAGAAGATATGGTTCATATATAGAATGGAGTATTATGCCTCCATCAGAAAGGATGACTACCCAAATTTTGTATCAACATTGATGGGACTGGAGGAGATTATGCTGAGTGAAATATGTCAAGCAAAGAAAGTCAATTATCATATGGATTCACTTACTTGTGGAACATAAGGAATAGCATGGAGGACATTAGGAGAAGGAAGGGAAAACTGAAGAGGGAGAAATCAGAGGGGGAGATGAGTCATGAGAGACTGTGGACTCTGAGAAATAAACTGAGGGTTTTAGAGGGGAAGAGGGTAGAGGGATGGGTGAGCCTGGTGGTGAGTATTAAGGAGGGCATGTATTGCATGGAGCCCTGGGTGTGGTACATAAACAATGAATCTTGGAACACTGAAAAAATGAAATTAAATTAAAAAATAAAAAAGAAAAGCTGGAGTGATCACAATTCTGGACTTCAAGTTATATTACAAAGCTGTAGTAATCGAAATAGTATGGTACTGGCACAAAAATAGACGAAGAGATCAATAAAACAGAACAGAAAACCCAGAAATGAGCCCAGAATTATGTGGTCAGTTAAACTTTGACAAAGCAGGAAAGAAGATGTTCCAAGCATTAAAAATCATGAATTCCTTTGGTAATCATTGACAATATTTATAACAATGGCTTTATATAGTGATATCCTTTACTTAGCTTTGGTGTTTGAGTCTGTCTAGGGCTTTGAATCTAGTACGTCCTTAATTAACGCAAGTATTTGCATTCCTGGTTCCCACACTCAAAGGTGATTGAAATCAATTAGTGCCATTTTTCTTTGGCTTTTCAAGGGGGGAATAAACATTGAACCTTGAGCTCCAGCCAGATTGTATTATTCTCTATCCCTAGATTCTGCCTACTTTTTCAGGTTAAAGAGCATTTGCCCAATTTGCTTCTTCTCTGTTAAATGTTACTATCCCTTCCTCCATTTTTTCCCATTGGAATTCTGAAAAATCTTCACTATTTGTAAGAAGTTCTTTGCAGATTTGAGGGTACTACTGCAGAATATAGTGCCTGTTACAAAACTGTTAAGAGAGAGTAAAGTTTATCATGATTAGTGCACAATGTTCCTAAACCTGAAAAAGTAGGTAGATTTCGGGGGTAGAGAATAACTTAACCTGGCTGGAGCTCAAGGTTCATGCTTTGAGAAATAAGTCTGGGTTGATTGGGGAGGAGGGCTTTAGGTATGTGGTAAATTGGATTTTAGACTGTGGATATTCAGTGAGTCTGAGAGGAAAATAGATATGGTCAGAGGCACATTTGATTTAGATCATCTTCACTTTTCTGAGTGAACATTTAGAGTTTAGTTCCCATCAACTGTAGGGGTCTAGGATGCTCCAATAATAAGGTGTGTCTGTACCTAACAGATTTTAGTCATCTGAGTCTAAAGTCCTTCTATTCTGAGTAAGTTTATGTATCCTACTCTCCACTGGCAGATTATTACCCTCATGTTAGCAATAGCCTTCAGTTACATCAATGAAGAATTTTTTGTAAGTTGTTTAAATTCATTTTATTTATGCTGCTAACTATTCTTGATCATTATTTTTGAGCATATATATCTCTAACATTAGAATGTAGGCTCCTTTAAAGTACAGGCAATGTTTAACTAGCTGCTATGATAACACTGTGCTCATAGTAGATATTCAATAATTGTTTTGAAAGAATTAGTTAATAGCATAGGACAGTCTTGGATCAGCCATCAGTCTGTTGATCAGCTTACATGATATAATGTGAAAATTTCCTATAGCAATTCATTTTGCTAGCATTTAACATATATTTAGATTGATGTATTTGACCCTCTCAAAAACACTAAAACATAGATAATAGTAGGTTCCTAATTTGGGGGGGGGGGAAGAGGCTTATAAAGGTTCAATAATTTTCTCAAGCTTTCATAGCTAGGATTTAAATTAAACATTCTGACATATAAATCATTGTTCTTTACCATGATGGCATACTATTACCCGAAACAGAAAAATAGGATTAAATTAGCAAGGTGAAGGAGAAAAAAAAAATATTTTTGTTATGATGGATAGGAAGAAAAGACTCATAATTTTTTTTTGTATCCAATTATTTTTAGCACAATCCAATTAGGTTCCATCCTTGGGGTTTGGGTGGCGTTCTTCTGTATATGTCTCTCCTAGTTGTTCCCAGATGGGTAGGTAAGCTGCGGCCTCACCTTCTGAAGCAGTGAGCTGCTGTCAGGATCCACATGCTGCTGATCAGGATGCCGCCACAGTGGTGAACATTATTCACCTGTAGACTGACTTGCCATGGCCAGTCTCCTTCCTCAGCCTGAGTGCCTCCTGTGATCCTCTCCTCAGACAAAGTTATTAGGTCTGGACGGGCCCCACAGCCTAATGAGAAAAGAACATGAATGGGCTGGGAAGGTCGTGATTCATTTACATCTGGGAGGTGCTGCTAGAATCTCTCCATCTTTTACAACTTTTCTGTGTTTCATGTGTTCTTCCCCAGAACATGTTAACCTTTCCAAAAGCATGATCAGTATGTTATTTTTTAGAGTACTTATGTGACTCCTGTTGACTATAGACTGCATTTTAGAGAATATTTCTGAACTTGAGATGGAGGCTTCGAATTCTGGAGAGCCTTCAGAGTTCTCTGGAGTTTCTCATGAATGGAAGTTAAGATGGGTTAGTGCTGGATGTAAGACCTTGGGCCAAAAGTTCATTAGGAAATTTTCATCTTCTCTTTAGCTTTGCTATTCAAAAGTGTGGTCTGTGGACCTGCAATATGGGCATACCCTGGAAGTTTATAAGTTTATAAGTTTATTAGAAATGTTGAGACTGTGTGAAAATAACCTAAGGGTCTATCAGTGGATGAGTGGGTCAAAGGAATGTCTGTCTGTCTGTCTCTCTCTCTCTATATATATATTTACACACACACACACACACACACAGGGATATTATTCAGCCTTAAAAAAGAAGGAAACCCTGTTGTTTGCAACAACATGGATGAACTGGAATGTATCTGTTAAGTAAAATAAGCCAGATAAATTCTGCATGGTACCACTTATATGCTGTAGAATCTTAAAAAAATAGTCAAATTCCTAGAAAGAAAGAGTAGAAAGTAGTTGCTAGGAGATGGAGGGTGGAGGAAATGGGGAGAATTTGGTAAAAGTGTAAAAAAATTCAGCTATAAGGTAAATAAGGTCTGAGGATCTAGTGTGTAACAGGGTGTCTACAGTTGATAACACTATTGTATAACTGAAATTTGCAAGAGTATAGAATTTAAAAGTTGTTATAAAAAAGGGGGCAGCTAAATATGTGAGGTGATGAATATATTAACTAGATGGAATCTTTTTGTTATATATATATATATACATATACATATATATATAACAAATAATAATTTGTGTACTTTAAATATCTTACAATTTTATCAATTTTCCCTCAAGGCTGAAAAAAAATTGACTCTAAGGCACACGCCAGGGAACAAATGAGAAGCTGCATTCCCACCCTTCCTAACGTTATTGTGGAACAATTGACAAATATAGTTCTGTATTTTTAAAATGTATAGTGTGTGAGTTGATATACATATACATTGTTGATTACCAAGGTCAAGACAACCAACACCTCCATCACCTCACATAGTTAACTCTTGTGTGCACGTGGTGAGAATGCTTAAGATATACTGTCAGCAACTTTCAAGCATACAATACTGTCTTATTAATCATAGTCACCATGCTGTGTGTTAGAGCCTCAGAACTTAATAGAAGCTACATTCTAATGAGTGATTCCTGTGTACACTGAAGTTGGGGGAAAACTGTTCTTATCAAGAAATCACCATAGTGGTGACCCAGCTCATCATGAAAGTTCCAGTCCACCTCCATAACTCACTCTATATTACCAAATGCACCCTCAAAAAAGAGTTACTGCAGGTCCACAGAGTATACTTGAGGGTAACTGAGGGTTTCTAAATATCTAGGTGAGATTTAAACATCTTAAGAGAGAAAGCCTATGAACACTCCAGTGGCTGAAACTGAAATGATTATTCAGGTCCTCTCAATTCCCCTTTCCATGATTTACTTCCTTTTTTTTTTAGTCTATTATTGAGAAATTAGAAGTAAACCACCACCAATAAGTTCTATTGCTCTAAAGTAGTGACACTGTTTAATAGAACATCCAACCAAAGGCATTTTTTCCTAACAGACTTTCCAGATAGAGGAGGGCCAGACTTTCATTTAGAGTATACATAGAACAGAAATTCCTCTGTTGCATCCTTCAACCAAATTCCTCAGTAAATTACTTTGGCATATTTTCATTAAAAAGAAGTATAATTAAATATATAATGAAGTTGAGAAACACCCATAAAGGTAGCATTACCTTGTAACATCACTTAAGGATTTGAGATAGGCCAGCTATGGAGGTGCACTGAACTAATTTCTAACTACATTTCCTCACCAGAGAAGGAAACAGCTGTTTTCTAGGGATTATATTTCTACTGTCCTAGCCTGAGAGTGTACAGAATGTCATTGGAAAGTCATGACTCTTCCTTTAGATTAGAGACATAAAACTGACAACACTTTTATAATTTTTTAATTCTACTTTTTGGTTAACTTAAATCAATAACAAAGCAGGCTATTCTGGTGGTCAGGAGGAGCCATATTAATGGTGTCCCCAAACAGAATTTATAAGTCTACAGAAGTGCCACCATAGCCTGAGGGTAGGAAAAGCTTCCCAAAGCTGTTAAGAACATTTTCCTGAGGTCAGACTTGACACAGAATGTCACTGCTGCCACCTCCTTCTTCTAAAAGGAGGGGAAAACCTAAACAACGCTCCATGGGCCAGTGGAATCAGCAGTCTTTTCTCAACAGTAGCCCACATGAGTGAATTATTAAGAATAAAGATAACACCTTAGAAGCTACCTTGGCAAAGAGTGCAAATACTTGACCATTTGCTATTTGTATTTTGATAAATCGTTTTTATAAGATAATTTTGAAACTTACCTTCAGTGAAAATATTTACTGTATCCTGGTCAGTAAGTGCTGGTATTAAAAAAAAAATAGAGAGTAAGATCAATAAGATCAATAAGGGTGTTTATTATTTAATCTTAATTTCTTAAATGTAGTTCTCAGACAACCACCATCAGAATCAACCAGGGATCTGATAAAATACAGATTTCTAGGCTTCATCTTAGACCTGCTGAAAGTCTCTGAGTCGTAAGTCCCAGAAATCTCTGTGTTTACAGCCTTCCCCTAATTTATTGTTATTTATATCAAAGTTTGTGCTTTAATTTTTCATCAAACACTAATAGATACTTAAAAGCTATTTAAAAGTTATCCCTGCTCTCAAGTCACCCAGTTTAGTTGGGAAAACAGAAACATAAGCAAGTCGTTGAAATTGATGTGATAAGTAGCATAAGAGAAGTTAGATTTTCATTTACTTGAATATATATGTAGGTATATATAGATATATCTGTATTATACTACTGATACTATTCTTAGTATGGCAGATATAACACTGAAAAAAACACAGGAGGTCTGCCCTCACATAATTTACAGGTAGAAATAATCAAGGAACCGTTCAAATCAATTCAAGTGAAAGTGGAGAGTAGAATGGTGAGGGTGATCATGCTACCTGAGAGAGTCACTGAGTTATCATGGTGAGAAAAATATTTGAGCTGTATTTTGAAGACCTAAAAGGAACTTTCTGGGCAGACAAGCATTAAAAAGTTATTCCAGGTGAAAGTGTAGTGGGTTCAAGTGCACGGAGATGGATGATGTTTGTGGAGTAATCACATCAGTAGGGCTGGTAGTGCAAGTGCGTCACAAAGGGAGATGGTGTGAGCGCCTGGACAGAAAATATGGTGATAGCAGAGAGTGAAGGTCTGTCTGTTGTAATTTAAGGTCTGCTTACAGAACCATCTTCTCTGCCCATCCTATAGCCATCTCAAACTCAGTGTGACCAAATTTACTCCAGATTTGCTACTTACATTATGTTTCCTCCTTTAGGAAATGGTCCACTTCTACCAGTGGCTCAGAAATCTGCGTGTCTCTAATTCCTCCCTTCCTGTCATTTTCACATCTTATTGGTTTTCAGATTTTGTACCCTTTACCCTCTAACAATCTTTTGCATTAGGCCCATCCTCCTGATCCCTTTGGCTACCCCTTTTGTTGGTGCTGTCATCATTTGACATCTATACTATTACAATAACCTTCAATCTGGATTCCCTGCCTCCACCTTTGTGCTTTTCAAGATGTCCATTTCCACTTTACCAGGCTGTGGTTTTTTTTTCTACAAATATATGTCAGATTATATCTGTTTGCTTGTTTCATTTGTGGGAAGTCATGGGAAGCTTTTAAGTAATATTGAAATTATGTTTTAAAACATTTCCTTGATTTATGTAGACAGTAGTTTGGAAGGGGCCAAGAAAGCATTACAAAGAATAATGTGGAGGCTAGTGCAATAGTTCAAGTCAGGAGTGATGTTGGCTTGGACCAGAGTGGTAGCAATGGAAAAAATGGAAATAGATTCAAGAAAGGCAGAGGTACAGATATTTTCAGAGAGGAGTTAGGAATGTTGCTAAACCTTCTAATTTCCTCCTTCATTCTACAAGTATTAGATACCTTCCAATTGCACCCTGTGTTCTGGGTGAAGTGGAGTGTTAATTAAATGGTTCTCTGACCTTGAACAGCTATTTGCCACTTCTATAACATACCTACAGGTTGAACATCTGACAACAACATCTCTCATAAGGAGTGTTGAGAGGGACAATTAATAAATGAATTTTAGCTAGTGAAATTTACTATATGAATGCTGAATGATTCTTTAAACATTAGAATGTTTTATATTAGAGAACTATGCATTATGTCTACCTTTATAGTATATTGTTTTCCTAAAGTCTAATTCCAAGGAAAGAAAATCAATCTCATTAAATTAAAATATGAATTATAACTGGTTAAGTTGATATATTGGGATAAAATGGTAAAAAAAAATAATGGTACTTGCATGTTATCTCAGTCGAAGGGTTTATTTCCAAGTTTCCAGAGTTATTCAGAATTTGGTGTAAAACAGACTCAATTCTGCTTTTCATTGATGCTCCATTGTTATTTCTAGTGAATTTAAATTTCATGACAACATCTGCTATCACACCATTACCCTCCTGCCTGAAAGCCATAAATATATTAAAAATAAATATAATTTTATGCTATTCTGTTTATATTCTCTTATTGATTAAACATTAAAAAATTCACTTGGAGAATTTAGCTTTAGAACAGATTGATTTAATAGTGTTTTCATAGTTAATGATATATAACAATGTTATTCCACAAATATTTGATTTCAAAGCATGGTACACTATATCCACCATTCAGTATAGCTGGCTTTAAAGTCAGAACTCCAAAGTTTGAATATCAGCTGTGCCATTTACTGGTCGACTTTAGTAAGTTATTTGTTTCTTAATCTTTCTCTAAGTCTCCTCACATTAAAATTGATTATTATGAAGTTTATATGAATTAACACATGCAAGAGTTTTGGGAAGAGTACATACCATACAGTATTAGCTATTATTATAATATAATAGAATTATAATACTTATAAGTATTAGCTATTATTAGACTTCACAAAAATCTTCAAAAAGGAAACTCCCTTATCTCATTAAACAAACCTATAAAGAGAAAAGTTTCCAAATTTATGTGACTTAAAGACTTGGGTTAATTTTCTAGTACCCAAATGCATTAATGTGGCTACAAAGTCAAATGTTAAAATTTTATCTCTATGTCAGTTAGCTACACATATTCTCCACGATGAAGCTTAATAAATTGATTAAATGCTACAATGATCAAAAATCAATGTAATGTCCACTTCCTTATGTGTGAATTACCATGTTAATCATTGCCCTACCTAACATTGGCCATATTCTTTTCTGAAACGTGCGATAGACAAATTTGTCTTTCATATTCATTCTAGGCCTCTTCCTCTCCTCTCAATGATCAGTTCTGCTGTAATATTCATTCCAGATATTAATTTAATATTTACTTAGCAAATGTTAAATAACCACCTTCTTGTGCTAGGCACTGTTCTTAGTTTCAGAAATTAACAGTGATCAAGATTCACACTTGCCATTCTCATGGATTTTGCAGTTTAGATAGAGGAGCAGACACTGAAGAAATAATTATTACTTTCATTTCTAGCAACATGAAGTCTAAATAATTAAAAAATTCTCCATATAAAATAACCAGAAATACTTGATAAAATAGAATAAATTTCATTTGAAATGCAAAACTACGCTAACATTAAAGTAAGGGAAATCTTGGAAGACCAAAAATGAATAACATGAATATTATGTAGTGAGTACTAGAATATCCAACAGACTTGAGTTGTAGCATTTACATGGATACGGGAGAGGAGGCTTTGGGCTAGTGCTAATTAGGGAAGTGAACATGAGGTTTCTAAATAAGGCCAGGATTCTTAAAGAACTAAACCCTCAGTGAAAGCATGGATTAGAAAGAAAAAAAATGTGCTCATCATGTCATTAAAAAAAAAAAAAAGATAAGGAAGTTTATGTGTTTCAGGGTTCCAGGTCTAGACAGAAAAAAGATTGTCCTGACAATTCATGATCATGAGCCTAGCTGCATGAAAGTTTTAGATCTGCATTACCACCATCTGCATGATTCCAGAAACTTTAAGAAGTTAACAACAAAAAATGGCTCATGTGCTGCTGATCCTCCTAGAGTGTCTGATAGAAGCAAATGCTCTGTAAATTGTATTTGCATAGTATCTGCATAGTATCCCGCTTATGAAGTGGGATTAAAGTAATCATACAGTCCCAATGGCAAAGAATTTATCATGAACTAGAATCTGCAGAATGAGGACAGCATCCTAAAAAATTCATATAGTAAAATTAACAGGTGGATAACTGTATTTGAAATGACTAATGACATAAAAGGGCGAATCATAAATGTGAGAAAAGTATACGACATTATCAAAACAGACCAGACAAGCTTACAAAAGAAACAAATAGAGCTTGCAGACAGGAAAATGTAGTCATAATTTTTTTAAAATATTTTATTTATTTATTTGACAGAGAGAGATCACAAGTAGACAGAGAGGCAGGCAGAGAGAGAGGGAGGGAAGCAGACTCCCTGCTGAGCAGAGAGCCCCATGCGGGGCTCGATCCCAGGACCCTGAGATCATGACCTGAGCCGAAGGCAGCAGCTCAACCCACTGAGCCACTCAGGAGCCCTGTAGTCATAATTTTTAATCAAAATTAAAAACTCAGTGGATGGGTTACATAAAATATCAGACAAAGCTAAAGAGAAATTAATTAACTGAAAGATAAAAATAAAGAAATCATACAAAGTGTAGCACAGATAAAGAGATGAAACAGAAGCTAAGAGACTAGAGATGTTTCAATGTTTACCTAATGCAAAACTAAAGAATATCACCAACAAATAAAGGGGCAACAATATTATAAGAGATAATGAGAATTATCCAGAACTGATGAAGATATGAAGCCTTGGATCACAAGAGTCTGAGGCATACTAAATAAAAGAAATACCCTCCCCCAACAAATACATCATTAAAAAAAAACTCCGAACTCCAAAAACAAATGGAAGACTTTCAAACAATAGAGATGATCTACCAAAGAACATTTGACTGAAGGGCTATTTTTTTTTAAATTAATTAATTATTTTTTTTTAGTAAACATATAATGTATTTTTATCCCCAGGGGTACAGGTCTGTGAATCGCCAGGTTTACACACTTCACAGCACTCACCATAGCACATACCCTCTCCAATGTCCATAACCCCACTCCCCTCTCCCAACCCCCCTCCCTTCAGCAACCCTCAGCTTGTTTTGTGAGATTAAGAGTCACTTATGGTTTGTCTCCCTCCCAATCCCATTTTGTTTCATTCGTTCTTCTCCTACCCTGAAGGGCTATTTCTTAATAGCAACAAAGAAGGCAGTAGATAATTGTATCTTCAAAATTGCTGAGAGACAATAGCAACTGATTTAGAATTTCATATCCATATTAAAGTATTATTCAAGAACGAACATAAAAAAGGACTTTTTTTAGATCAAAGCAAAACAAAAAGGATATTTTATGGTTCATGGCTCTTGTGAAAATTTATAAAGGAATTACTTCGGTAAGAAGAAGATTGAACCCAGGAGGATTAAGGTATGGTAATAAATAAAGAAAAAAAGAAAATGGCAAACTGGTAATCTACCATTACAGTGACTAATTTGGAGTCATTACAAATACGGTGGAGCTAAAATGTCATTCATAATAATATGAACAAGAGTTTCAAGTTCCCTATATTATTTGGAAGAAGGGTAGTGAATTAAGCCAACTCTTCTTATTTAAATTTTAAGGATAATCACTAAAAGCAAAGATGATCAGAATGCATTAGAAAATATAGCTGTCTTTCTGTTTTAGGTGAAATGTCTAACCTATAAGGATATATAAATATTGAAAATAAAATATTGAAAACCCCTCTTGGGGTTAGGGATAGTGAAGAACTGACAGAAATCTAGTGGGACTGAGACTAGTCTAGGTGGATGGTAGTGAAACATAAGCCCAGAGATGGAAATGGTAAGAAGAAATCAGAAAAAGGAAGGTTGGGTAAACTTTGTTACATATATGTGTATAAAAATGTCTTTCTCTCTCTTTCTCTCTCTCTCTCTCTCTCTATATATATATATATATATATATGTACATTTATATGCACACACATACGTACATTATATCAAGAATACATGTACCTCTGATATGCATCTATTATGTTCATATATAATACTTGGCATGTTGCAAAGGCAATGAGTGGCCAATAGAAGGATTTTAACTAGGGGAATAATATGTTTAGAATTTTGTTTCAAAAAGTCTTTCTGGCTGCTGTATAGAATGAGTGGAGCAAGAATGGAGGAAAGGAGGCTCATTCGGGAGACTATTCATGGTCCTGGAGAGAAATGGTTGAGGGAACTATTTGAAGAAAAGTTATGGATCTTAGAGATATTTAGGAAATAGAGTAGAAAGATTAGATGGTTGGATGTGTGGGTTGAGGGAGAGGAGAAATTAGAGATGACTTGTATATTTCTTAAGCAACTGGGTTGAAAGTGATGCCATCATTAGAGGTAAGCAACAGTAAAAGAGTAATATTTGGTTGGGGAGAGTCAATAGATTCAGGTCTGGACACAGTAAAGTTGAGTTGTCTGTGAGATAACTGTATGATGACACCAAGTAGATGGCTGTGTACATTCATGTCTAGAAATGAGAAGAGAGGACTGGCCCAGAGATACAACTTTGAGAATATTGAGCATATATGGGGCAATGAAGCTGCTGAAAGGACAGAATGTGAACTGAGAAGATGAGAGACTTATAGCACAGGCTGACATCCAGCAACATTTGAAGGAGTAGAGAAGGATGTGCTAGTGAAGAAAATTGAGGCGTGAATGGAGAGGTAAGAGGAAAATAAGGGCGTGTAGGGTCATAGAAACTACAGGATGGCACTACTTCAAGGAGGACTGAAAATACATTACCAAATACTTGAGAGGTCCAAACAGAAGACTGATAGAGTTTGTTTAGAGCTTGTGACTTGGATGTCATTGTTGAACTTGGCAAGGGTAAGTAGCATTTTGTGGTGGCATCAGGAGTGAGATTGTGGGGAATTGAGCAGTAGGTGGGAAGTGAGCAAAAGGGGAGGAAATGCAGATGGTTCATCCAGTCCTATGGATTTTGAGAGCTAGTGGCTAGTACAGTGATTTTCACAGGAAAACGCTAAGGGGAATGTGCAGTGAACTGACTGAAATTCATGTTGGTAAATATGATTTCTTTCCATGGATTCTTCCTACTCTTCACAATTCTTAACAAGATTTATCTGATCAGATGTTCATGCTCCTGGGACTTATTCTACAGAAAAGAAGAAATATTAATTTTCTTGTGGTAGTGGTATTTGAGAAATACCTCCCTTTCAAAGGAATTTTGCGTATTATTTGAAGGATCGGTTGATGTACCCATTTGAGGCATTTGTGATAGGGTTAGTATTCTAGTTGGGCCTGTCTCATCACATCACATAGACAAGTACACATTCAACTAAGGCAGGAATGTCAAATAGCTAGAATGCATACTGCTACTTCCCTTATTATTAATTCTTGCCAGACATGCTTGGATTTGGCCACAGCATCTTTTACATTACAGCATTCCAGACAGACACAAACCAAAAAGCTTGATGTTGGTCATAGTGTCTGATCTTGGATGAATATGCCCATGACCACAGCATTGTACAACTCCAGGGACACTGTTTACATGTGCTAGATTGTGAATGGGATCCACCGGATTTATACAGTAGGATGGCTTTGTTACCATACCTTCACCAGCCTCTCTTTAATCTTTCTTCCTTTCCTATCAAGAATTGAAGCAAGAGATTATGCTGAGTGAAATAAGGCAAGCAGAGAGAGTCAATTATCATATGGTTTCACCTATTTGTGGAGCATAACAAATAACATGGAGGACATGGGGAGATAAGAGGAGAAGGGAGTTGAGGGAAATTGGAAGGGGAGATGAACCATGAGAGACTATGGACTCTGAAAAACAATCTGAGGGTTTTGAAGGGGCGGGGGGTGGT